ATTATATGGAAAATATTCTAGTATCTTAAGTAGTAATTGATTTGGAAGCCACTGCTGCACGGTATTGAAGAGAATCTGGCAGGAAACAGTAGCTTGATGTGCATCAGTAAGCAGGATTCCTCATCTTAAGGCAACCCTGACTACTTTCTACTCCAATATACATTCTCTCAGCCTCTCTTTTCACTAAATATAATTTTTTGTAATCCTGGATTGTGCACCGAAAAAAAATATTAAGAGGAAATAAACCCCAGAAATAATCAAGAATTTTTAGCAGGATCAAATATCTAACTAAGCCCATGTGTCTATACACAGCTACCTGTTTTACAAAAAAAAAAGGCAAGAAACCCTTGCAGTGCTCGGATTGTGATTTCACCTACCTAGATCATCCTAACAATTTAAAACATCCCTTCCACTTTTCCATGCTCCTCAACCATATCACCGCTAAATAGCTGTGCCAAAGCACTTGTTACTTACTTAAACAAGTGCCTAGGTAGAAAAAACTATAGCATATAGCAAGCTTAATAAATAAAAAAAAGAAAAAAAAACTTCACTTGGGAATTTAATGTAGGGGTACAAATTTTAATTGTAATATATATTCACATACTTGCCATATCATTTTCACCTCGATGACCACCTTAAGAAGAAACAGTAGGAATCAAGATAACAAATATAAAATTTAGTGCACTCAATGTACACAAAACTACAGCTTGCCAAATCACGTCCTGAACAGCATCTTATTATTAACTAAGAACTTCTGGTAAGCACCCTGATCTTTCTTCTACTGAAAAATACCAAATATTTCTACTGAAAAATTTGTAACAATAATTGATACAAAAGCATCTTCTCAACTCTACCTGCTCCCGTCTGTTAATGTTATTACCTCACATAGTAGTTGTATATTAAAAGTCACAACACTAGATTGAAAATATAAATCATAATTAGGTTTAGTATTAATTTGTAACTCATTTGACTGTGTAAAAAACTTGCACCAATCTGCACATTCAACATAAAAGCTATGGTTCATGACAGAAGGTGTTCAAAGCATCATTTTTCAGTGGTAGCAAGCATGAGTGATGATTGAGATAATAAAATGTTTTTTGCCACGGAAATAATTCTCATCAGCCTTTTATTTTTTTAGAAGTTGTTTAATGTATTTTTCTAAGCCTTTTCATTTCAGAAATTCTCTGCAGCTGAAACATTTACATAAATTACAAGTATCATACTTTTTACTTTAGGAATACTAGGTCTTTAGGTGAATATCAACTTACAAATGATAAAGGTAACAGTTCTTAATAGGAGGCAGCTACAGAAAGTTAAAGAAAGTGATCAACTGGCAGAATTAAATGTACTATACTACAAAGAAGGTGTGGATGGAGGGGTGGATAGAGGAGATGACAGTTTTGCTAAAATTTAAAAAACTTCTGAAAAGTAGTCTTGCTTGCTCATTTTAGCTGTAAAATAGTGTTTATATACTTTTCTTACGTAGGAATTAAAAGCTAATTGCCACAACAAAAAATATGTAAGGATGTAGCTTAACACCACCGAGGGTTTTGTCTGATTCAGTGTAACTAAAAAATGGATAGCTAGGGAATGGACAGATAACCAGCAAGTAAAGGAGAGAGATACTTTTTCTTAAATAGAATGTAAGGAGTGCCAGGAATGAAGTAGCAAGATGGAAAAAGAAAAATCTGCTTTTCATCTTAAAAGTACTATAACAAGTTCCTTAGGATCCTTCATGATCAAAGATAACACTGAAAGAAACTTTGCATATTGAAGTGGAAGATCTGAGCATCAGTGAGACTGATGATCTTGCAAAGTGAAATACTTTGAATGCCTCTTGTCACTGAAATGTATTCCTGGCAATAATTTAAAACCTGTCCTTGGTCTTCTATATCTGCTTCATTTGACTTTAACACACAACATTGCCAAAAATTAAATATTGATTACGTCATTTAAGTATGGGAGAAGCGAAGACTTCAACTTGAAAGCTGTAATTTTCTTTTATACTAATATCATCTCCCTAAGAGTAGAACAAAATTAGAAGTTTAAAGGGGTGACTCAGTCATTTGCTCTGGATATATTCTTTTAAGTTATCTGAAGTTATAGATCTAAAATTTTATACTATAAATTTAAAAAAAGCCCCAAGAGTCAACATTAATTCAAACATTAAAAAAATTCTCCATATTTGTAAAAGGTATTTTACACTAGACAGTGTATTGCTTTTGTATCTGAAAAGAACATTGCATTTAACTTCATGAAAATGCCAACCACAAACATACACAAAAATATAGCAAGATCTTAGAGAGCAGCTACTGGAAATGACAAGAAAAACTTGCAACCCACACTGTGTCTTCCTAAACTTTTGTCATGTGAGTATTCAGCAAATTCATCTAACCTTGTTGAGAAAGCAGTAAAACTTTAAAAAGGCCAAAACTATATCGTAGAAGATAAAAATATCTGTCACAATCACTATCAACTTTATGGTTGAATAACTAAAAGGGAGGACTGCTAGTGTAGTTTTCCCCAGAGTAAAGCTTAGATTGCCTCTACATCTAAATCCATCTACTATAAATATGGTTTAAATGCTCTTTGAGCCACAATGGATTTTGCTTGAAACTCAAATGTAATTTAGATAACAAGGCAGGTGTTCTACAGAGATTTATTAAAAGCTAACAGAACCAAGTTTACTTAGTTTTGGGGATGTACCTAATGACAGACAAAGTAGTCCCAGTGGAAATTTGTCTTGAGAAGTTCTGACCTCCCAAGAGGCTACAGTGAAAAACATAATTACTTCTTTTCTCAGGAAATTAAACTTTTGAGGACTGATTGAAATATAGAGGTTCAAACTCAATATTCATCATTTACTACTTTGTTAGAAACAGAGATTTTCAGAAAACATGGAAGATAAAGTGTAAACAGTAAAGCAATTTAAAATTGATGATTGTTGTATTTTGCCTATGTGATCTGTGTGTATATATATACAACATTAGGTTTTCAAAATATAAATATAAAAAGGTAAAGACTTCTAACAGATCAATCAGGAGTATTAGTAACGCACTCTCCCATACCTTCTCTCCAATACCCCCATGCATTAGTAACCTGCTACTTACATTCATTCAATAGAGGTGCTCCCGTCATTGCAGAAGCTTGATTTTTTTTCTGAGACACACACACAAGTTTCTGCTATTCAGCAAATTCAGTAAGAGAGATGTAAGGGTTTATGTACATTTAGGACAAAAAATACAACAAGAAAATGGTACAACAAAATAAACTGGAATATGTAGTTGACAAAGAAATATAGCTCTATGGCTAGACCACCACTCCAACCAAAATAAACAGTTCAAAGAAAATGAAATTGGTTTTTTGCTGAAACTTCCTCTCCTTTGTTTCATCTCATATGTACATGTTTTGGAGCCCTGAAATGAGTTCCTAAACCAGAAAATGAGAGTATTGAAAAAGATACACACTTGCAGATTAAAGAAGAAAAAAAACCACCCTGGAATATCAACTGGATGCTGAAGTACAATTTATCTCTATTCTCACTACTGTGTGGATCAAGAGGTCCAGTGTACATTGAATTCATATTGCATTATTAGAAAGCCAGGATCCAGAAGGAAAAACACAGAAAGTGAAGACATACTGACATTTAGACATACTGACAATCTTGAAGAATATGAATGAACTATATTTCTTGACAAATTCAGATGATGTTTGAGAACTTGTGGGTACTGAAAAGGATTGAACAAAAAGATAATGAGTAGTTTGGGTTTTTTTAAAGTAATAAGTAAAATGAACGACGAGTTCTCTAAGTGGCAAAGAAGCTTATACTTTTGTGCAAATTCCAACCTCTATGTAATAGGAACAGATGAGATCACCCTTCAAGTTTATTTTCC